TTGGGGTTTAGGGTTTAGAGTTGTGGATTTGTCTGTCAAACTCTGGGACGGGCCCTAAACCTGAACCCTAGCTTCCTAAACACGAACCCATTCTTCATCCACTACTAGTACCTAAACCCAAAGCCCTATAATTCCTACAGCCAATTCCCAAATCCGCAATGCCTACCTTGAGATGCATGTGCGCAACATTCTGGAAGTTCCCGGCATTCCTGGGCAGAGTCTGGCGAATGTAACTTTATAACCGAAAACCCCCGACTAGAAAGGGCCTGGGGCTTCGGCTTGGGCTTCGAAGTTTAGGGGTGCATACTGCACTCTCATGCGCGGTGCCCCTCAAGAACGGGGGTAGGGCAGGCAACCCAAAGCAAGGGGTTTAGGGGTTTAAAAAAACCCAAAACCGCCTAAACCCTCAACCCTTACGGTTTACAGGGGTGTGGAGTTTAAGGTTTAACTGTTAGTGTTAGGGGCCTAGGAGTTTAGGCTTGCTGTTGCAAGCGAAAGCAAGAATCATCCAAACCGTCCGGCTGACAAAACTACCGGAAAACCTTCCAAACCCAAAGCCCTGAAGCTGCAGAAGTTTAGGGTTCTTGGGGTCTGCTTTTTTTGTTTTAATACAAGAATTTATGAGGTGTAATTATAGGGGATTTGGGAATCCGAACCCCAAAGATCGCGCAGGGCGTCAGGTGCATTTCGTCGAAGCTCCCGTGGTTGTCGGCCATCTCTGCGCCTGTCTGCCAGAAGGTCGCCAGCTCCTGAATCCGTTCAGGGGCTGGGGCTTAGGATCACCCTGGTCCACGGATGCCTCTTGGGGATATGGGCATCGGAGCTGTGAGCTCGTGAGCATGAAGTATGCACTATACAGCTTATGATTCCATATCAGAATGGTCTTAGAGCTTCGAGCTTGGGGTTTAGGGCTAGGCATTTCGAAGTCCCAATACATGGTAAAGAGAACGGACCAAGGAAGACGGGCACATTTGCGAGAAGAACAAGTGGCCTAAAGTGGTCGGGCCGCGCTGCCACGTATTTGCACGTACTTCTTTGTTGCTCTTGAGAAGCATTCCAATATCCGGGCGCGACTAATACTCATGGAGAAGCCAATCCAGGTCTTGGGTTAAAGGGGTTCCGCCTTCTAGGCCAGGGAACGGTTTGAAGCTTCAGGGCGGACTGGAAGTGGAAGAGGCAAAGGATAAACAGTCCTCCCGAGAAGCCTTAATCCCGGAATGCCACCCCAAGCCAGAAACCACAGCATCCCCTGCTCTCAATCCCTTGACACGCCTAAACACTGAAAGCCTCAAGCCCCAAAGCCCTCAAACCCCAACGCCCAAGTTCCCTTAGGCCGCTAAGCCCTAATTCCCCACAGTGCCAGGAAACCCATGCTTGAGTCCCAAGTCCTACTGGAGCCCTCGTCCCCAAAACCCAAACCCAAAACTCCAGAAGCCTAAACCCCAAACCCCAACCCTAAAAACCCCCCAATGCCATAAACCTTAAACTCCCGAAGCCTGAACCCTGAACCAAAGCCCAGGGATGATCCTCGTCATCCAGCTCACTCTGGCGGCGGACGACTTCGCCGCTCTCCAGCGCGCAGCGCGAGGCCCTGGAGCTGGGCGCCATCACAACCACGTAGCCTGGTCTTCGGAGTGAGAAGTTTAGGCATGTTGGGCTTTAGGGTTTCGGGCTTTAGGGCTCTTGGGGCTTTGGGGTCTAGCTGGCTTCAGGGTTAGGGGTGAGGTTGGGATTCTAGTACGTTTCTGCCTGCTTTCCGCTGTATCTAAGGAATCTAAGGCACTCAAAAGGGTCCAGAATGTTGAGAACAACCCCTACATCCATGTGCAGGCCTTCTCACTGAAGGGAAGGCCAAGCCTTCGACAGTCATCCCCAAAAGCTCGAAACCACGAACTCGGAAACCCTCGTCCTGAACATCTCCACCATGATCACAGAACCCTTAAACAGTTTGCCGCCCAGCAGGGTTTTCGAGCAGGGGACCCTACAGCCCTACAGCCCGCAACTCTCGGTGGCTCCCATAAGCCCTCAGCCCTAAAGTCTGAAGCCCTGGTTTAGACATCGACCTTAAAGCCTCTAAGCCCCGAGGCCCTGCATGCCCTGCATGGGCTTCTGCACAGCTTCGCCGACATCTCAACTACCCTGAACCCTAAACCCTCAACCCTCAAACCCAAAACCTGACAGAGCCCTGTAAACCCACGAAAACCCTGATTAAAAACCTTGCAAAACCGTGAAAACCACAAGAAAACCACTTGTCTTCAATCCAACAGATCCCAATATGAAGCCATGACAACCGCCGTCAAGCTTTGCATAAAACCCAAAACCCTAAACCCTAAACAACCCTAAACCCTGAACCCTAAACAGCCCCAAACCCTAAACCCTAAACCCCTCCCCCAGTTGGCCGGGAGGCAAGAGCGCCCCTGAAAGTCTAAGCTGCAGCGGACCTTTGCCTCGGGCTCCTGCGCTTTTTGTTTTTTTTACGGATTCTTCGGGTTTCTCAGTGCCTTTGAGAACCCTGTAAGAACCCGTCTGATAATGAGGGACCCTATATTCTAGAGTTCAGGGTTTGGGGTTTAGGGTGTGCCAAACCAGAAGCACACGTTTTGTGAGCGCGCATTGGTCTTCAGGCGTCCCCAAGACCGCCGCCCACTTGCAACTCTTGGCGTTGGAGGCATTTCGTATTTCTCTAAAGATGCATCTGATGCGTATGACTCTCATTGCTTCTGTGCACGCCATGTTTTGCACCATCTTCGTCGCACTTGACGACTTCCTCGACCGAAGGGCTATATCGCATCGCCATTTCGGGCGAAGTGGGGATTTTCGTGCTCGGTGCTGTGGGGCATCATGCCACCAAGACCAAGACATCTGCACCCAAGTCCTGGTTGCAGCCCCCAAAAAAAAGATCCAAAGAGGCCAGGAGGCCTCCATGGGCCGCAAGAGGCCCAGAGGCCCTGAACTGAGAAGCCGATGGACAACGGCTTGGACTGCGAGCTGCAAGGCCCGGAGGGCTTCGTCCAAGGCCCCGCCGACCTCCGCAACATGTTCGTCTTTCTCGCCTGAGAGGATGCCGAAGCATACGTCCAAAGGGCCCAAGAGACCGAAAGGCCCCGAACAGTTTTTGCAATCGTGCTTCGGTTTAGGGTTTATAGGGCGTTAGGGTTTGGACGTCCATGGAAGTCTTGGCAGGGCCAGGATCTGCCAGCAAGGGAAGACCAAGGGAGGTACTGTTGATGGTATAAAACCCTGCATTGCCTTAAGGACCCTAAACTATGGGAATTATGGTATATTCCTTATTATGGGTAATGCAGGATTCATATCATCAACCGTAGGGCCAGCATGACAAGAACCAAAGCACCCCGAGGGGAAGGAGTGCCAAGGGGGAACCGGACGGGGCAGGGTGGCCTGCCTTGAGGCTTCAACGCAGATTTCTTGGGATTCGGTATAGTAATGCTTGATATATATATATATATACATACATGTATGTGTACATACATATAGATAGCTAGATAGATAGATAGATAGATAGATAGGTTCCTTATGCATTCTACTAGGGTTGATTTGGGATGTAAAGGGCTTCTTTGAGCTTTCTCCGCGTTCCTGGGCGCTTCCTACACACATGTAAGGTTTTGGAAGGCATCCCTTGCAGGTTGCGAGGTCGAGTTCAGGGTGTGCGGTTAGGCGCACCTGGACACGACTACCGAGGCAACAAACTAGACAAACGACATACACTGCTCAGGAATCTGTACAGATGTATGTAGATACATGAACATACCTCTCCCTCTGTACATATATATATATGCACATGGTGCAGTAAATAAACACTTACATATGTACTTTCAGGCGTACAATTGCACGTGAGCCAGTAGACAAATCATCCCATCCTAATCCTTTCAGGTGCATGATCTCGGCAAGTACATTGACATAACCCTGTTCAATGTAGACAACAATACCTCTGTGAAGTATGCAAGTCGTGCCATGGCGTCGTGACTTGCATGTGAGTATGTCTTTACAGTTTCTGATTCATGGGCGCTTGACGGAGAAAGCGCAGGTGGGCTGGGTAGGAAAGCTAAAAACACATGGACGATGGTCTTGCCATCATGGTTTTCCTGACGTTTGCCATGTGCTAAGGTAGAGTTTCGAGCGGCTTTCGGATAATTACGGGACTCCCAGGCTTTGACAGTCTGCATCGTTGTCTGGGGTCAGGATTTAAGATTTAGGTTTCAGGGTTTCGGGCTTCGGGTTGGCAATGTAGCATTTCAGGGTAACCAGTGCCCGCCCCCAGTGGTCACCCTGTGAAGCCCTAACAACACCTCCCAAAGGCCCTACAACCCTCGCTAACACCTCTGTTCAGGCGTAACAATTCGGACTGACTGTCCTAAAACCTTGAAAAAGTCCCCCAAACCCTAAACCCCTAAAAATACCTCAAGTGCTCCTCCCCACGCAGGAGGCAGCTCCGCAGCGTCAGGCCTGGCACTTCGACATGCTTCCCGGAGGCATCCTCGCAGGTCTTCAAGGCATTTACTTTTATTGTACATTCCGTATTGTATGTTGTACGTTGGGTATGTTACATATTGTATAATGTATCCTATAGATTACCTACGGTATAGCCCACATGATCTATAGTCTAGGCTTTCGGGTTGAGGGGTAATTATAGAGTATAGGACGCTAGCATTTGGAGTGAAGGAGATTGGGGTCTACAATCGGTTTCAGGTACATATGCGAGATGGATTGGAGTTGCTGAGCTAAGTCTTGCGCAGACCCGAGGCCCCCTCCTGGTAGATGATGGGAGCATCCAGGTCATCCGCATTAGCCATGGCGGGAATGAAGCGGACGACTGCGTTCGTCCCCGCCACGTAGACAAAGAAGCCTTTCTTCCACGATCAGTGACATGGCTGCTATGAACGTACGACATTTTGGTTGATGAGAGGTGGAAAAGCATTAGAGCTTTGAGTATGCCTGCGCTTTGTCTTCTTGGCGGCAATGGTCATCATCATCATCATCATCATCAGCAGCATCAGCATCAGCATCAGCATCAGCATCATCATCACCACCAACATCACCGACGTCCACCTCCCCCTCCTCATCATCATCGCTCTTACCTTATCATTACCATGATCAGAATCATCGTTCTCGAGGTCGTCGTCGGGTTAGAACTTCGATAACAAAAGATCAAAGCTGCTTTCTTGCTTGACTCTGCCTGCCGCAGCCGCTGCTTGGCAGACGGGCCGCGAGTCCTCCACCGCCCAAACACTACTAGCAGGCAGGGGTTCTCCAAAGCTCTAAAGTTTTCTACCGACAATAAAGCCACTTTTCCGCGTACGGTAAAGGGGTTCCAACACTGACTCTGAGCAACACCTTGAACAAACCCAAACCACACGGTGGCTGTGTGTAGGAGCAATGTATCACCAGTTGTGGGCTGCTGTGCTCCCGTACCGCATGACCTTGTAGTTACCCATGAACCGTCAAATACCAAGCAGCATACTTCAAATCCTCTTCATATCATCATGTCAGCCAGTTTCTTCAAGAAACACTAGCCCAAGCCACATCTCCACATTCTTCTAACTCCCACCCCTCCTTTACATGCTTTCCGCTGAAGCCTCAGAGCGGACAGTCTGCACAGTTCCTTGTCACAGTCCTCTGGCGGCCCACTCGTAGAAGACTGAGTACTTATATACATATTAAATATATACATATATATATATGTATAGATATATATATATGTATATAGATATATATATATATATACATACACACAGATCGGAAGGCTCCTCTTACATTCCTCAAGCCACCAACAGCCTAAACTCTCAACTTCTCCCACAAATCCCCACAAAACACCCTCTCAACCCCTACAGCGCCACCTCGGTCAGCAAAAAGAGGGCCAGGGCTTCATCGCCCGAAACCGCGGCGGGAAGATCACTGGCTCCACCCGGCCAGGGAAGCAGCCGGAGGTGGTAGGAAGTGAGCCCGAGCTCCTGCGTATAATGGGTTTAGGGTTTAGGTTTAGGGTGTAGGGTTTAGGGTTTATAGAACGTATAGGACATACTAAGTTGAAAGGCTTCGTGTAGAACTTCTATTGGCTTGTTACGTGGGTTTAAGCTTCTGCTTTCTCGGATGTTTAGACAGGGCTTTTTGAAGGGTTTATGGGACATGTAGATATATACATATATATATACACATATATATATACATACATACATACACATATTCTTTTTATATATATACATAGATACATATATATATATACGTATACATACACACATACATATATATATATATATGTATATGTTTGTGTGTGCGTATGAATGTCATATACCATTATAATAGCATACGGTAACAATATACACTACAGTCTAGTATTATAGTAACATGCACTCACAGCTCCCCTCGCTCGGGACTGACAGCTTATCTGAGCGCTCCTCCTCGATGACTCGAAGCACATCTCGCATGAAGGGGACGAACTGCGCCGTTCGTACGTACTCCTCGAAACACGTGGCACCCGCATGGTCAGTGGGAGCCAGCGCTGACATAATGGTCCCACGCTGGCTGACGCCGACATGGTGGATGACTCGCTTTGCTGTCTCCATGGCACGGGAAAGCTTTCAGGTCAAAAGTTTAGGGGAAGTAGAGGGGGCATCCACACAATGCGACATGTGGCTGCAGTGCTGTGCTTCGATTGCCTTAGCCGTATCCGGCTTGGCTAGGAATCTCCCAGCTCTGAGGTACTCGGCTTTAGAGCAGCGTGAAAGCTTCTGGCTATGCCGGAAATGTCGCCCAAATGAGCCTCGATTTCGGCCTTGCGCGAACTTTCATGTAGTGGCTTTACAAGCATAGTCGCCGGCTCTTAGAGGTGTGAGAGCTTCCATTCTGTAGTCGCAGCAGAACGACCTGGATTTACAAAGCTTGCAGAATTCCGGCCATCGCAGAACCTTGTGGGATTACGACTGACAAAGAATGTTGAGAAAGCACCTGCAACCAAAACCCACAAGCACTACTACTTGCCCCTTGTGCCATGAGTGTTACGAGCTTAAGCCCAACCCCGAACTAAATCCCAAGCTCAAAACACAAACCTACAACGGCACTTCCCGAACCTCTGACAAACCCTGATACCCCAAACCTCTACCTTACCCAGCCTGAGATCTACCTGCAGTCTCCAATGTAGCTTTTTTTGGTTAACTGACGTTACATTATACGATCCTAACCAGAAGAGTCGGCTAATGCAAGGGGGGAACCACAAATAAGAGGTCTTGCCAATTAGAATAGGGTTTGGGGGTACGTTGTAGTGTACCGAGAACAAGGAACCCAAGAAAACTATTGGCAATTTTTTCAGGCCAGAAACCTAACCCTTAAGCCCCTAAATCCTAAGCCCCTAAACCCTGAGCACCTAAACCCTAAGCACCCGAAGCAGGCGCCTTCTTCTCCACCGCCACCCACTCAGGGCACCGGCAGTTCGCCTCACTGCGTTTTGCAGCGACCTTTCGCGGGGGGTAAACTCCGTTTTGTACATGTGGTTCGAGCGGTTAAGGTTCGGGTGCAGGTGCGGGGGCCTGAGGCTTCAGGCTACCATTTTGAGATAGGGGACTCATGGGTGCACAAGGGTTTAGACATCAGAAACTCAAGCCCACAACTTGAACCCACACCCTAGACCCTACACGCCAAAACCCTAATCTTTAAACCCTAGACCCCAGAGCCTAAACCCTTAATCCCTGGCTGTGTAACGATGGCCTTGCCGTGTGTCGGAGTAGGGCCGGAGGCAGCAGCAAGGCAGCCTCACTGTCTGTGTCGCTTCGGGATTTAGGGTTTATATAGGGTTTTGGGGATATCGAGGTTTAGGGCCTAGGGGTTTAGGGTTTAGGGTTTAGGGATTTAGGGGTTTATAGGGTTTGGGGTTATCGGGGTTTGGGGCTCAGGGGTTTAGGGTGTTTGTGGGTCAGGGTTTTTTGTTTTCAAAGGTGCAATGAGGTGGTTTGGGTTTAGGGTTCAGAGTCTTCGATTGGGTCTTGGGGAGGGGGCAGTGGGCTATTTGGGAGGCACAAGCTTAGCCCTTGAAGCTGAGGACGTCAACCCAAAACCGAAAACCCACCTCGAAGCGCCGAAGCTAAAGTCAAGAAGATCCCCCGACCTAATTTCGAAAACCCTATGTCGCAAAATCATTATCCCCGCTTGTTGCTATGCATAGCCTTAGAAGACCCCGCTTACATCATCAAACCTTGAACGCCAAACCCAGAGCACCTTGGTCGCCGCTGCCCCAGCGCCTGCAGAGCCAAGGGCTTCATTGCGGCTTTCGGATTTTCTGTTCCAGGGTGACATCAGGAGGGCTTCCAGGCTCTCAGATTTCGCAAGGCTTCTGTCAAGGATATATCGGGCTTCAGGACTTTGAACGTCTTCAGGGAGTTTGGTGTGGGCTTCTGGGGGCAGCAGGCTAAGTGGTAACTTTTCTTCTTTTAGATGCAACCTTTTTTCCTCGTGGACGTAGCTTTTTCCTACCTACCCCAGCTACTCCACCTTCCCCACCGACCGCCACTACCCCACCTGCCCCACCTACCCCACCTACCCTGCCTACCTCGCCTACCCCCACTACCCACACGACGAAGCCCTAAAGGAGTGAATCCAGCGAGAACCTTTTACCCACAACGAAAACCCTAAGGAGCGAATCCAGCGAAATCCTTTTACCCAAGACGAAAACCCCACATGAATCTTGTGTGACGGTTCTGGTTTGGCGCTAAGCACAGCACAAAAAAAATTGGGTTTGATGCTAAATACACCAGACAAAGGTTAATACACCAGAAAAGTCTGATTTGCTGTGGCGGGCGAAGCCGCTTGTG